AGCATTGGCAGCACAAAAGAGATGGCAGGTGCACCATATGGATGTTAAAACAGCATTTTTAAATGGAGAACTCAAGGAGACAGTGTATGTTGAACAACCAGAGGGTTATGTTGACAAAAGATTTCCAAACAAGGTGCTGAAATTACACAAAGCCTTATATGGACTAAAACAAGCTCCTAGAGCTTGGAATGAGAAGCTGGACAGTTGTTTGAAGGTTTTGGGCTTCAAGAAATGTTTGTTTGAGCATGCAGTATACTTGAAGCATTCAGGTATGGAAGTCTTGATAATTGGTGTTTATGTAGATGATTTGTTCCTTACAGGATCCAGTCTTGAACTCATAGATGATTTCAAGATCAAAATGAAGGGAAATTTTGAGATGAGTGACTTGGGGTTGCTTAGCTACTATCTTGGACTAGAAGTCAAGCAGTGTGATGAAGCCATAAGCTTAAATCAATCAAGTTATGCAAGAAGAATATTAGAGCAAACGGGAATGGGTGACTGCAATCCTTGTACCATTCCTATGGAACCTAGAACCAAGTTAAGCAAATTTGAAGAAGGAGAGAAGGTGGACTCTACACTTTACAGAAGTGTTGTGGGCAGCTTAAGATACTTGGTTAACACCCGGCCTGATTTAGCTTATTCTGTAGGCATTGTCAGCAGGTATATGGAAAATCCAACCACAACCCACCTAAGTGCAGTAAAACAGATCTTAAGATATGTAAAGGGAACATATGACATGGGATGTGTGTATAAATGTGGAGAAAAGAGTGATGCCTTGACTGGATATTGTGACAGTGATCTGGCTGGGGATGTGATGACAGGAAAAGCACCACAGGGATTATATTCTTCTTTGGGGAAAGTCCAATAACCTGGGTGTCACAAAAACAAAAGATTGTGGCTCTATCTTCTTGTGAGGCAGAGTATATTGCAGCAACGGGTGGAGCTTGTCAAGGAATTTGGTTAATGAAATTACTGGGCAGTCTACAAGGCAGAAACAATATTAAACCTTTGTTGAAGATAGACAATAAATCTGCAATATCCTTGGCCAAAAATCCGGTGTATCATGAAAGAAGCAAGCATATAGATACACGGTTTCACTTCATTAGAGAATGTCTCGAAAGGAGAGTGATAGATATTAAGCACACAAGAACTGAGGAACAATTGGCAGACATTTTGACAAAGCCCCTTGGCAGGCAAAGGTTCATGGAACTCAGGGCAAAGATTGGAATGCTAGACATAAGAAAAGGCAAACAAGTTTAAGGGGGTGAATGTTGGATAGTATAAACTTGTTAGTTATGTTTGTTAGCTAAAATATTATTATTATTATTATATGCATGTAAATAGGTTAGTTTCCAATATATACGTGGGTATATACGTGTGCATGTATCAAGGAGGTTTTTTTGTCCACTTGCAATGTAACCACCTTGATCCTCGTCTATATGATAGAGGTGCAGATGTGGGAACTTGTTAAGATGGTTTTTCCTCCACAAAATATTAATATACTATTATGAATGCTTTAATGGCTATGAATGGTTTCTGTACACGTAGATAGTATACTTATACTTGATATTCAGTGCATGCATATGTTGGTTTGTTACTTCAGGCGGTTCTGTGAGGCTGGCAAGAAGCTCAGAAGGCGGCGGGAGAAGAGCTAATGCGGAGCGCAAATGCATGGGTTGAAAGTAGCTGGGCTCGGGAAGTATCAAAGTTAACATCGATGCGTCACTTGATCTGACAAGGAATAAGCAAGCTTGGGCATGAGTGGCAAGAGACGAGCATGAGAATTTTCTAAAGGGCGGATGACATACAAGGGAGGCAAGCTGGTCAGGGATAACGGAGGAAATTGGATTTCGGGAAGCAACAAAGTGGATCCAGACTCAAGGTTGGCAGGATGTCAAAGTGGAGACGAAGTCTATATTGGTAGCGTTTGGGATGGGGATTCATATTTTAATACTTTGTTGGAGTATACTAGATTCAGACATTCAGTCTTCGTAATGAGGCAAGGAGCCAAGGATAGAAGTCATGCATTGTCAGAGATCCGCGAATTTAGTAGCTCATAAATTAACTAGGGCTGCTCTTTCTATGTCGGATGATTAATATTTGATTTGTAGTCCACCTGATTGTATTGTAGTCAGTTGAACAATGACAGTTTGAATTAATAAATTTTTTGTTTTATTTAAAAAAAGGTTTCTTACCAACATTAAGAGCGCATTTAATGACCATGTTTTTCGCCGTATTAGTCTTATCAGCCAACTTTTTCACTAAATATGTAACTTTTGTTGTGCGTTGAATTATATAATAATAAAAATAAGTAATGTTAATATCAATTTTATTACTGAATTGACTTAAGTTATTATAAAGAAGTAAAGAACCATTTTACTATTTTCGTATACAACTTTTCGTTATTTTACCGGTGGTATGTGGTAATAAGGGGCGAGTTATGGACTTGATTCTTTGGGCCCGGTCCAGTCAGAGCCCAATGGCATTTTCTCAAAAAAAATTAATTAAATGGGTAGGTACGACCCAGTCCCGGTACTGTTTGGGCTCGGACCGGAACTGGTACCATGCTCCACTTTTCCAGAATCGACACCGCCCAGCCTGGCCCGGCCTGAGTCCATCCCTAAATTCAGCTACTTCAACTAGAATTTCATAAATTTCAGCATAATCAACCGATTCAATCAATTTCATTGTTACCAAACGGGCTCTAGAATAGTTTTTTTACTATATCAAAAACCCAAATCAAAATCTTGCTTACCAACCCTAAATACGTTTTGTTTTACTACGTACTCCCTCCGTATCAAATTAATTGACTCATATGTTTTTTCACGTAGTTTAAGGCAAATATATGTAAAGTAGGAGGTTTTGGTACTATAGCGGTACTGTAGCAGTACTGTAGCGGTACTGTAGCTGCTTTTTGGGTGGGTTTATTTCCAGAAAGGGAAATGGGACCTTTATTTTGATACGCCCCGAAAAGGAAAGCGGGTCAATTAATTTGATACGGAGGGAGTATATCAAATAGCCAAGGCCAATTTAAAAACAAAACGGCTAATAGGCCACTTACCCAACAGCTCAACTCAAGTGCTGACAACAGTGACAAGAGAGTAAAGAAAGTCCTAAACATTTTAAAAAGTAAAAACTCAAATAACAAAACAAGGCAAAACCACACAAAAAAAACTTTCCAAGCATTTTAATTCAATTTCCAAGACCTAAACAGATCACATCAGACTAGTAGTCCATGTAAAAACACCCTTTATTGTTAAAACATATGATGACCAAGGATATAAAATTTAATTTTGTATTTTTTGATTGAACGTGACTTATATTAAAACCCCAAATTGAGGCAAATTACATCAAGACAAAAAGTCACACCCTAATCACTAGCCCTAGAGTCAGACCTAGAATCAATCATCTTCCAAAAGCAATTAGTTGCAACATTCCTTTTTTCACGCTTGTCGATGCGCAACTTTGACCGTCATTATATTTAATCATCTATTAGTAAAAAAAATTAAAAATCAGATTATGAAACTTTGTAATGAGATGAATTTAACAATATTTTTCAAAAATAATAATTCACATACATTAATAAATAAAATGTAGTCAAAGTAGAGTATATGAATAGTGTGTAAATTCCAATGTTACTGAGGATAGTATCTCGATGATCACAAAAACGAGCACAATTGAGCCAAAAGTGAACAAAAAGGCTCTTCACCAATCCAATCTAATCTGCAATATTTTTAACAACTGCATTGACAAAATACCAACTAAAATTAAAAGACTCTACCCCAATCCACTTTTTGGCCCTTCCAAGTTCCAACTCACACTCACAACATGCAAGAGAGCCGCACTTGGACTATAAGAAATGGAAGTGCACTTTGGCATCACAACAACTTCTCTAGGAAACCCCCAGAGCCGGAAACAAAGCGTCAAAATTTTGGTTGATACTATCGTCGTTGACACGGGAGCAGGTGTAACTGCCATAATTACCGCAATCACCAATAATCTAGATATAATATCCGATGAAAACTCTTCACACACACGATGAAATTCATAATCGTAATCATTCACGTCCGAGCCCCCTCGTTGGTGGGAGCCTTTGCGGCAATGCGTTAATGATGATGATGAACTAGTTTTGACTATACTTTTTTTTACATTTTAATTTTTCTGTTAGGTTTGGAGAACATATTTTTTTGAACCAGAAAATAGATTTTAAAATTCCATATACTATTGTTTTGAATAACTACTACTACCATTTTTTTGGTACACAATCACTTATGCAACCATTTATTTTTACTACTACTATAATATTATATGTAGTATTATTTTGGTACACAATCACTTATGCAACCATTTATTTTTACTACTACTATAATATTATATGTAGTATTATTTTGGGTATTTTATCTTTAGTAATCCTTCCGTATTTTTTTGTTTGCTACACTTTCCTTTTTTGGATGTATTCAAAAATTTGCTACATTTTCCCTTTTTGATATGTTTTTCCTTTGAAAATACTCAACTACCGTTACTTTTTCTACTTTTTATCTTCTCTTTCATACTTTTCCACCATCTCTCCTACTTTTTCTACATTATTCATTACCCCTACTATTTCACTCTTAAAAATTATGCCAACACCTATTGTAGCAAACAAAAAAATACGGAGGGAGTAGTTTTAAATGAATATTACAAAGAGGTGATAGTATCATATGACATTTTGATTATTGCTACTACGTTGTTTTTTTTATTTCAATTATCAATAATATTTAAGAAAATAAAGATAAGGCCAAATACAATAGAGGGTAAATTGGATTTTTGAAACATTAACTCATAAAGTAGTCATAAAAATACTCAGAGCGGCTTTTCCATTTGTAGATTTTACGCATAAAAAACCAACACTAAATACTTTTATGGGACAGAGTAAGTATAGTTTGTATACTATATCAAACACCCATCCCAAAGCCAATTACTACGTATAAAATAGCTGAACAGCTGAGAGACCACTTACCCAACAGCCCAACTCAAGTTTTTCTTTCATTGTCATGCTGATATATCAACGTGTGACACGAAGAGTAAAGAACAAAACTTTCATAGTTGGTTTAAAAATAAAAACTCAAATAACATAACAAGGCAAAACCACAAAATAACTTCTCAAACATTCAGATTGAATTTCCAAATAGGTTTACAATAATGATCTGCTAGCAGATGTCAGGAATTGAGTTTTGGATGACAAAAACAGGATCTGGATTAGCCAGGGCAGAATTGCAGGAATTCTAATTTCCATGTTAACCCCAATCCTTAATACTGTTTACCATCTACTTGTTTCTGAAGTTCTTGGTTCACTTCTAATAGATGGTCATATTCCAGAAGAAGTCCAGCAAATTGATTATGAAGAGCGTTAACATGATCTTCTGCTGTTTTAACCTTTTCCTCATTCTCTTTGCATAGCTTTTTTACTTCATCCTTCAAACCTGAGATTTCTTTCTGCAGTTGCTTTACTTCCTCTTCAGACTTCTGTGCCTTTTCATTGAACTGCACCTTTTCTTTCTCAAGCTTTTCAACTTCAGTCTTTGACGTCCCAATGCTGCTTTGCAATGAAATTGCTTCACGCAGATAGAGATGGATTCTATCAATCAAGAAACCAAGAAATAGGGAGAATCCTGTAAAGTCAAGATTGTAATTAAGAGTGCACAGAGAACACCATATGAGGAGGGGAGGAATCAATTCAAGAGAATTTAGTCGTAATAAATGACAGGGAAATGGAGTTTTAACCCTGCTTGTCATCCATATTTGAGTTTGCGCCCCATTTTTAAAACCATTAATGTTTGCACCCCCAAAGTTAGAAAATTGTGTTAATAGTAAGGGTGCAAACTCCATTTCGGAAGAAAAATGGAGTGGGGATTCACAAATTTGTGATGCAAATATTACTGATTTCAATAATGGGGTGCAAACTCAAATTCCCCGAAAACAACAAAACACAATCTTTTATCAGCATGCTTCACATTCCTGAATCCTAGCCTACTTGTTATGTATTTACTTGTGCCCAACACTAGTTCTCAAATCGTTTAAAGAGAGCTCAATGCCTTTTTTTATGGACACATGGATTCCAGTCTTATGAAAAAGCATGGATTTTGACATATCATGGTGTTCTTTATCTGCAACTCTTCAGGTATATACTAAAAGGCAATTTGCGCATAAAAGTAAAGCCTTATCTATGAAACAATGCAAGCCCAAGCATATAATTGAAAGCAAATCAGTTTTTTCCTTTATCATCTGCCCCACTTAGTTTGTCTGAACCCCTCTATTTACCTTCTTCAACAATCAACATCAAATTCATTTTATATGTCACAAACAGTAACCAGCAATGTCATTATCCAATTTATTGCAATCAAAATCATATTTTAGTGCATTATACACTAATGATCAATCTGTATTTATTAGATCCTATAAAAGAAAGAATTGTATGAGGTCAATGTAAGTCATCAGCTCCTTTTCTTTTTGTTTTTGTTTTTTTTGTATCCAAACAAGACCGCAAAGAAAATTAGCTTTGCTCTTTATTTTATTTCTTTGAGCAAAATAACGCTTTCCTCTTTATTACTACCTTTGTCCCGTCTTTCCTTTACTGTCTGCCCCACTTAGTGTCCAAACCCCTCTATTACCTTCTTCAACAATTAATATCAAATTCATTTTATCTGTCACAAACACCAACCAGCAATGTTATTATCCGATGTATTGCAGTCAAAATCATATTTTAACACTCCGAAGGCTCACATTGATCATATCCATGTAAACAATACACTTAGGGAAGTGCAATATACAATGGAGCACACACAATACGTGAAGCTTTTCATAAAACAAACTCAGGCTTGTTTGGTTCGGGTATTTGGAGGGAAGGAAACGCTGAAGTGATTTGGTTTTACTATTTTATCTCTATTTATTAGTTCAAACTTCTTAACTACTTGCGGAGTTACCGGACTAGTTACATACATATATATTTCTACTATATATGCTTCTATCTTCACTTTATGTCCAACAGGCTAAATGCACAAATTATTTAAATGATAAATATCACTCATCCAGTCATCCACTTCCCTGCGCTCCAAATTCCTCAAACCAACTAGCCCTAAGTTCACTCGATATAGACCTTAGTTCCAGAATGTCCTATTACTTGAAGAAACATTGCAAAACAATCTTAACACAATCTGATATTCAAACATAAGAAATAATTAAGAAGCAATTAACTTCCCATTGCAAACAAAACAAATGAAAAAAGTAAATCTTCTGAAGCAAAATGACAGTTAAGAGTTTTACAGTTTTACCTATGAGAGTGGCTTCCAACAAGTTGGTCCTCCAAAGTACTTGATCCATAGGCGTCATGGTACCAAGCTTAGCACCCTTGTTTTGGATCCTCAAAATGCTAAAAAAGTGGGATAAGAGGATAGCACAAAAAACACCTGCAATGGTCAAAACAGTCCCTTTCATCGTCTTCAGCTGATCCAGCCCATTCATCACCAGCTCCCTTAAAGGCCCAATCTTCACCACAAGAAGGAAAGCCACCAAACCCTCGGAGCACAGAAGTAATAGCAACAGCTGAAACATTTTTACGCCTCAAAGATTACGCCTTTCTTTACCGGTAGCCAGATTAACCCTCCCTCTTGATTGAGCTTCAAGTTTCAAGAAAGCCCCATTTCCCAGAAGGGCAAAACCAGTACTTTCTTCAATGAACTGTCATTTACAAGCTTAAAACCCCTAGCTTCATCCACTCGCAGTGCAGAAGAACCCCTTTACTGAAGTTAACGACCTCGAACTATTTGAATCAGGTTAAAAATCGAATCTTTGCAGTTCTATCTAAGAAAAATCCCAGATCAAAAGTGTGGGCTTCAACTTCAAGCGGAATGTGATGGTTTTAAGGCTTTAAGATGTCAGATAGACTCATCAGTCAGGTACTCATTACTCAGATCTATGTACGTTCAGTGTATAATACTTCGTACTTTAATACGGTGTAGTTTTCTGTATTTTTGGAATTTTGGTCATGAGAAAAGTATGCGGGGTAATTTAAAAGGAAAAAGGTGTAAATAAGCCCATGTATTAACAAAAAAAAGTCAAATAAGCCCTTATTTAAGAGGTTCTGTCCGGTCGTCGTCATTTGGGGTGGTTCCCGGTAGAATTTTTTGATGAAATTTTTTTAACATCTTATTCATCAAGTCTAGTTTACTCATATCAAATTTCAGCTAAAAATTCAATCGGAAAGACATTCAAATGAATTCTTGAAGATAACTGCGGTTCTAAGTGTGCAGTTATTTTCAAGAATTCATTTGAATGCCTTCCCGATTGAAGTTTTAGCTGAAATTTTGTATGAGTAAACTAGAATTAATGAATAAGATGCTCAAAAAATTTCATCAAAAAATTCCACCGGGAACAAACCCAAATGGCGACGGCCAGACAGAGCATCCTAAATAAGGACTTATTTGACCTTTTTTTATTAGTACATGAGTCTATTTGCACCTTTTCCCAATTTAAAAAGAAAAACTTTGGAATCTGTGGGAGATTGATTTGGTTTAGGGAGCCAACCAGCTTAGGCTAACCGCAACCCAGCCCGTCAATAAATCTAATTCTCCTCCAGTTTATACGTATTCACTCCGTCAATTCAATTTTTTTCTGCAACCCAGCACCGTCAATATATCCACTCAGCACCATCTTTTTTTATTAAATGCATAAATCCTTACTTATTGTAGTATACATCATTTATGTGGTAATTTTAGTTTTACCAATAATTATTATTTAAAAACTCAAACATTCCGATGCAAAAAAAATAAAAAAATGTGTATTTTTTTGTTTGCAAGTATTAAAAATGCCCACTTGAGTTCAATTTCAAATAAATTTAAAACTAAAAATTTATATTATTAATTTTAATTTTATATAGTAGGGAGTATGTACTTGTTGGGATTGAATTTAAATGAATTGAAGCATACTTCTTGTAAATTAAGTTTCTTCAATCAATCCGCAATATATAATACAAGTATGTTGTTGTGCAGTTTCCACGTGCCAATTTAAAACTTACTCCGTATGTTGCTTTCAATTGAGTTTTTTCAATTTATATCAACGGAAGCCTTTTTCACTCGCAAGCCAAGCCGCGAACGACCACGCAGCAATGCTCACCACTCCTTTACTCCCCAGGTCTCAATCGCGTCGCATGGATGGGGCCCCAGCTGCTTTCCCCACTTCGCATGTCACCTCCTGGCCAGAGTCGATTGCCCGCCTAGAAGTCGCTCCCCTAGGTTCCCCAGATCCCCTGTGAGACCTTCGTATACAATATTTACTCTGGGTTGCAGTTGTTTTGGGAGTGAAAACCTCACATTTAGGATTTTCACTCCCCCCATTGCAATCAGCCTTAGCGCAGACAAATGAAAACAAACGGTGTTAAAAGTAGACGAAAATGACTATTATGGGCACCAGAATGGCAGCATTGTCCTTGGCTTCCTTAAGTAGCGGGTTTTGCATCATTGCCTTTTATTGCAGCAATAATTTTGAAGGAAGATAAAACAGGTGTTATGATTAGGAAATTTTATACTCCCTCCATCCCTAATAAAACTTCCAAATAGGTTTGACACACAGTTTAAGATAGTGAATATTGTATGATAGAGAGTTGTGCAGAGGAGAGAGAAATGTGTAAGAATTGTTGTGAATCACAAATTCTGGCCAAAAAGGGAAAATAGAAGTTTTAATTAGGACGGATAAAAAAGGAAAGTTGGAAGTTTATTTAGGGACGGAAGGAGTATCATATACTACAGTAATTAATAATAGAGAATATTACCCGAAATAAGACTAAAAATGTTTGAAAATTCCAAAACAGGACTGTCATGTTTTTATTCTCAAAATAGGATTAATTACTGTCATGTTTTGGCAGTACCAGACTTCAAACATGACAGTATTTTTCAAACTTGACAGTAATGACTCCTATTTTGAGAATAAAAATTAAGTCAGTCATATTTTGAAAAAATCTTTTCAAATTATTTTAGTCCTATTTCGGGAACTTTCCCTTAATAATACTACTCTATCCCATAAAACTAGTGTTTAGGCCCGACCAGGCGATTGTGCCGGATGTTTTTTGTACTTTCATTTTATTGTATAATAATTATAAATGATTTATAAATTTTGTGAATATACATGCGGTAAAGATTTAGGATGTTTTTATTTAGATTATTTTCAGTCTCAGACCATACCAGACTTAAATAGATCAGACCAGACTTAAACAGACCAGATCAAATCAGAATTGACTTCCGTAGTTATAAACACGCAGAGACCAGACGTTCACCAGACCAGACCAGTTCTGGTCAGACCAACAAATTACAATCCAAGTAAAAACATCATTTATTTGTGAAAGCCTTCCTAATATATAAATTATATACATAATTCTATTTTGATTTAAACTTTGCATCAAGACCCCCTTATATTATAAATAATCATACACGTCATATTCTATATTTCTATATTAGTATGGCAAATTTAAAGCTCAGAAATATCACTTCTTAGGATGTTTTACTTGGATTGTAATTTGATGATCTGGTCTAGTAATAATGTCTGATCTCTTTGTATTTTTATAATTATCCAAGTCTCGTCTATTCTGATCTGGTATACAGTCTAAGTAAAAACATCCTTAGTTTTTGTTCGAACATACATATAACTTTTTCTAAATGCCTAAATATTATATGAATAATAAAGACTTCTATTTTATGCATCACATAATTTTTTCTTCTAGAGTAATATATGTATGACTCGTCATAATAGATAATATTTTATTTTATATTTAATGCAGGGGGTTAATGCGAATATTACATACGAGGCTTTTCACGCAATGCAAATTAACCTAAGTATCATCATCAACTAATAAATTACAAATATCACCACTTTTGATGTTAAATGATAAATATAAAACATGCACATAAAACTCTATCATTTAGTGCAATGATCAAACACGCACATAGATTTCTCTAGGCGTCTAAGTATTATTAAATTAATAAGACTTCTATTTAAAAAACAGTTAATTGGGGTTTGTCCTAAAATAATACTAAAACAAATGTTATGGATAAAAATGAGACTACTTTTAAAAAGTTCCACAAAAGAGACTAAGGTGACTTTTATACCCCTGAACCACAATGACAATGACCAAACGCCACAGTGAACAAATGCCATAGTGACCAAACGCCCCAGTGACCAACACTCCGGTGACCAAATGCTACAATGGCCAAACACCCCAGTGACCAAACGCCCCAGTGACCAAACGCTCCTGTGACCAAATGCCATCAGTGACCTATCATCCCTAGTGATAGTGACCAAATGCCTCCGCCTCCGGTGAGAGTTACCCCGCTCGTGACATCCGACCAATTACAATCGTCGTCCCTGCCAGTGACAACTTGCCTGCGATCAACGCCGCTGCCTGTCAGTGACCAAAGACGCCCTGGCTAGTGACCAACACCGCCCTGACCAGTGACCAACTATGAACTAAACCAGCATCTCCGGTGACCACCTCCGCCGACCAACACCACCGACCACCTCCCCACCATGGTCCATAGCTTACAGCCCCACCAGCCCAGCCTCAGCTCGCCCATGCCCACTTCCCAGCTTCCCAACCCCTTTCCCATGCCAGCCTCCTCTACTCGTCCCCTGTAACCGCTGCACTCGCAGCCCCAATTGACGGTCGGCGTACCACCATATAAGTTCACTGCAGTTGTGACCACAACGCCGAGCGCAATCCACCGTCGCAGCCCCCAACCATCACTGCTTCCCCATCCCCAACCCTAGTTGTCGTCATTCTAAATCTAGATCTGGTTTGTTGCTCGACACCAATCACCTTTCGAAATTGAGTCTATAACGGTCTGTCGCCTCCCTCCGATGGTGATTAGAACATCTGCGATTGCGAAAATCGAGGAGCGGAAAAGAAGAGAACGAAGAAGAGTCGATTGGTTGTTACCGCTGTTGCTGGTCACTTTCGTCGATATGGAGTCGCCTCCTCCGATGTGAATCTCCACCGTCTGCTGTCGCACGGTCGCACTAGTGAATGAGTGGAGTTAGGCGCTCCTCGCCTAATGCGAAGAAGAAGCCCTCCCTCTCCTGACGCGAAGAAGAAGTTCACGCAGGGAGGGGAAGAAAATGCCGATGGGGCAGAATTTTGCACTGGGCATTTTAGACTTTTCATTTAATTATTGTCAACTTGTTGCGATTTGATTATTAATGATATGTTATTTGGTTTTCAAAAGACTTTTCATTTAATTTTACTCATATATCAGTCCTAAATAAAAACTGTTCCTATTTTTGTCCCACTAGAAGCCGGAAGTTCTAGTTCGGTCATTATTTCCAATTAATTTCTCCTAGAGTAATATGTGCGCACCTCATTATAATACATGAGATTTTAATTTATTTTGTAATTATATGAGATTAATGCTCATATCGTATTAAGGGATTTCACACCATGTAATAAACTCAAAAATAACAAATTAATAAAGTAAAAACATTACTTTCTCTGTCTTAGGTTAAATCTCCTGTCTTACGTTAAAGTTATTTCTCTCATCATAACAGACAAAT